TAACAAATTATAAATGAACGCCATTGTTTTGTGAGAAATTGATTTGTGTATTTGAGTATTATTTATTAAATAATGCTACTTAAATATGACCTGTTGTGCATGAATTCTTTTAGCACTAATTGGCAGGAATTGAAAGTTATCTTTCAAATTCTTTATAGTGAAAGAAATGTAGAATAGTTATGCTCTCATGTTTTCAAAGGATGTTACTGTCTAATTGTAGCGCTATGTGCACTATGTCAGGAGTGAGCCCTTTGACTTGGAGCAAGCAACTGAAATTCCTGTATTAGTAAAATAGCTTCCTCACTTACAAACTACTAATTTATCTAGTGAATTCCATAGTTTGAGGTCATCTAAACCTATCTAATTGTAGAATTTTTTTTTAATGGAGTAAATAAGACCTAAAAGCTAAAAACTTCTTTGACCAGAGAAATGGCTAAAAGTTAATCTAGAACTGAGATAATTACCTATAGAGCTTTCTGGGTCATCAGAATTGATTGAGGCTGTTATTAAAATAGAAGAACTGGAGAAACCCAAGAGAAAGGAGGAACAGTAGAAAGAAAAGAAAAGATGACTATGGTGGACTGAGGACCGCTATTAATTGCTTTATGTGCTATTCTGGGAAGTCAGCATTACGGGATGGCTATCTCTTTTATAGTTTTTCTTAATATCTTAATTGTAGTGAACACGTGACTATCACCAATTAATGTATTGTTAGTAAAGCTAAAAGTATCTGTTGTTTTATTCATTTATTACCAAATGCTAAAATCTTACTTTCCATAGGAGAGAATTAGAATGCTGCATAAGCATTTGTGTATCTCATTTAATGGACTTTAAAAAAGCACTAACAAAATTCACATATACAGTGTTTCAGTAAATGTTAAATATTTTTATTTCATGGAATTCTTACAAATTAACAGTAAACCCTATACAGTTCTGGTGAGAATAGCTTCACGTGGTCCTATCCAGTCATTACATTGCAGCATATCTTACCGTCTGCCTTTTACCAATTTGTGTGCCTTTGTCTTCTCCATGTCTAGACTTAAAAAATGCTGAGAGCTAGCATAGTGTCATTTACCTTTAGAGTTCCAACAGTGCTAGTTCACACAGTGAGTGCTCAGTAAATGTGTCAAATTGATCTAATTCAATTTTATTATCGTCGTGCAGACATCAACTAGTCAGGCAGTCTTCCGTCTCCAGTCTGGTATCTGCCAACTCTTCCGAGAAACTTTAATTAACAAAGGCTTTGTGGAAATCCAAACACCTAAGATTATTTCAGGTATGCTTCAAAATATTTCTTTTAATTTTTTTATAAATGAATTTGCATTCCCCAAAGTTGCTTATATTAATTTCTTTTAACTTGAGAGCTCCCAGTATTCGTTAAGGTTTGTTGCTATGAGAGTACTTGTTTCAACTACCATGCTGTCTAGCCGCAGTCACGTGTCACCGCCATCAGTAACACCACATCTCCTATTCCCGCAGTCATTTTGTGATAATGATATAACATGAGGCAGTAGCACATGAAGCAAGATTCTTGTTACGTAAGTTACACCAGCAACTATGTTCATATGTAGTTTTCTTTCAAAATTGGTATTGCAGTTTTGTTTTGTATGAACTACATTGTAAAATCACTAAATACTACTGGTGGGAAAATCTCATTTCTCATTCTTACCTAAGAATCTTAATTATTTTACCCTTTCTAGGTTGAGTAAGTAACACTGAACAGTGTGTTATAAATGGCAGTTAATAACAAACAAAAATATTGAACATTATATTTTTGATATTAGAAAAGTGATTAAGATGGGAACCAGCAGTTAGCGTAATGGTTATATCGCTGGACTCCCACATAGCCGACCATGGTTCGCATCCTGGACCCTGTGGCTTAGAACTCACGCCGGGCACGTGTGCATGCGTGCCCAAGATCCCGAGAGGAGAATGGAGGAGACGGGATTGCGGCGTGACCATCCCCCCTGGGGGGGGTGATTTCTCACTTTCTGTCTCTATGTCTCTCTCTGTCTGGCGAGCGCACGCACCCTATAGCGAAAACCTCTCCCAAAAAAAAGTGATTAAGAATATCTTTTTTCCTTTTTTCTTTTAATTTTTACAGCTCCTATTAAAGTAGCTTTAATAGATTTGAAATGGATGCAGAAAGGGAGAATGTATATCCAAAGAAGTAAAATAAAGGTATATACAAAGATGATATGGCTTAAATGTAAACTAGTTAGAATCACATATAAGAAGACATATGACTGGGACCAGCAGTTAGCGTAATGGCTATGTTGCTGAACTCCCATGTAGTCAACCGGGGTTCGCGTCCCAGACCTGGTGGCTTAAAACTCACGCCGGGCACGCACAGTGCCCAAGATCCCGAGAGGAGAATGGACGAGAAGGGATTGTGGTGTGTCCATCCCCCCTGCAGGGTGATTTCTCGCTTTCTGTCTCTCTGTCTCTGTCTGTCTGGCGAGCCCAAAAAAAAAGACATATGACTATGATTTATGTATAATTTTTAATTTTTCAGTTGTTTTAATTAAACTATTTGAATCAAAGGTATAAACTGTTTTTACTAGCAGTTTGCATTGATAAACTTACAGTTGACTATAATAATATAAACGTTTGTGTTTCAGCTGCCAGTGAAGGAGGCGCCAATGTATTTACTGTGTCATACTTCAAAAACAATGCTTACCTGGCTCAGTCCCCACAGCTGTATAAGCAAATGTGCATTTGTGCTGATTTTGACAAGGTTTTCTGTATTGGACCAGGTAAGATTTTGGCAATTATTCCAAGTTCATTAATTATACATTAGTTATAGTTTTAGAAAAGCATTTTAAATATTGTAATGTACAGACATTTTGAAAGCCTAAGTTCTCTTATTTGATTACAACAGAAACACTACACTTTCAGGTAGAAATGACTATATGCTTGGCTAGATATAGTCAAAAAAAAAAATAGTATACTCAGTAATCCTCCTAACAGTTGTACATCATTCAAGTGAATAGAATCATAAACATTATACAGAGGAACTTTTAAAAGTTTGTGGAGGGGGCCAGTAGGTGGGATAGTGGTTCCTAAGGTGCTGGACTCCCACATGGCTGACCACAGTTTGAGTCCCAAACCCGGTGGCTTGCTTTCTCACACTCTCTCTCTTTCTCTCTCTCTCTATGTCTGTCTCGGGTCAAACTTAAAAATAATAATAATAATAATGATAAATAAAATTAAATAAATAATTCTTTTAAAAAACAAAAAGTTTATGGAGGGGCCAGCAGATGATATGATGTTTAAGACGCTGGTTTGGTCTCACAAGGCCAGTTGTGTGGTTCAAATCCTGGTGGCTTGAAAAATACACCAGGCACCAGACAAATATGCATGTGTGCCCAGAATCCTGACAGGAGAATGGAGAAGAAGGTATTGCAGCATGGCACCCAGGGAATGATCTCTCACTTTCCTTCTCTCTGTATATCTCTCTGGCAAGTGCATGCACCCTATGGCGTCAAAAAAAAAAAAAAAGTTTGTGGAAACATGGAGCTAAAAAATATAAATATGGCCAACCTTGTGGCCTAATGGTTAAAGGAAACATGGAGCTAAAAAATATAAATATGGCTGACCTTATGGCCTAATGGTTAAGGGAACCAGATTCCACGTGGCTGACTACACAATTCAAATCCCGGCCTCAGTAGCTTGAAAAACTTGCCAGCCACATGTGCCTGCATGTCCCAAACCCCAGCAAAATAGAGAGATGGATGGGCTAGCAGGTGAAATGATGGAGCAGATAGGATAAAGGAGAAGGGATTGTGGCATGGCTACACCCCATTGAAGGTCCCCCTGACCTCCCACAAGCATGCTTGCCCTCTGGCAAATAAATAAATAAAATAATAATAAATATAAACTTTATTTCTCAGCATAAGCTCCATCAAGTTCAAGACACTTCTGTAAGCAGTGATTTCAGCTATTTAGTCCCTCTTTGAAGAACTGGGACAACCATGTCAGTACAGTCTTTTTTACATTATTACCTGAAGAAAAGTTAGTGCCCTCTAAATATTCTTTTTTTTTTTTAAGACTAAAGAGCAGAAATAATTCAAAAAGGAGCCAAATCAGGACTGTAAGATGACTTCCTAATGGTTTTCCATTGAAACTCTAGCAAAATTGCCTGTGTTTTATGAAAGGAAAGAAATATTGTTGTGAGAAGGACTTTCTAGGGAAGCCTTCCCAGCCATTTTCCTGCTAAAGCTTTGACTTTCTCAAGACACTCTCATAATAAGCACATATTCTTATTCTTTGGCCCTCTAGAAAGTCAACAATCAAAATGCCTTGAACATCCAAAAAAATTGTAGCCGTAACTTTCACTCTTGACCAGTCCACTTTTGACTAAACTGCTTCTACCTGTAGGTAGCCATAAGTCTGATATAGTACAGCCACATTTCATCTCCTGTTACAATTTGAAGGAATTCTTCAGGGTCTTAATTCCATCGGTTTAATATTTCCATTGAAAGCTTTGCTCTTTTGTGCAGCTTATCTGGGGGCAATAGTTTTGGCACCCAGCAAGCAGAACATTTGTTTAAAAGATGTTTAATAGATTATATTCACATAGTTTTTAAGCTGTTCACTGAAAGTCTAGCACACACACACATAATTATGTGGCAGCTTCTTTTCTGAAACTAATTACAAGAAATAAAAAGCTCTGTTCTTAAAACTTAACATGTTATTTTATATATGTTTTTAGATTGCTTAGTAAACATTAAATACTTTTTTTAAAAGGTTTCTGCCAGGGGCCAGCAGGTGGCATGGTGGTTAAGGGCACTGGACTCCCACATGACTGGCAGCAATTCAAGTCCTGGACCTGGCAGCTTGCTTTCTCATACTCTCTCTCTCTGTCTGTCTGTCTCTCTCCCTCCCTCCCTCCCTCCCTCTCTAGCCAAATCTAAATAAATAAAATTAAATAAAAATAATTTTTTAAAAAAATATGAAAAATAAAAGGTTTTTCCTTTAGGATTTGTGCACTCACCAGAGAGAGACAGACAGTGAGAAGGAAAGTGAAAAATCAACCCCCAGGGGATGGCCGCACTGCAATCCCTTTTCTTCCATTATCCTCTTAGGATAACGGGCACGCACGCATACATGCCTGACGTGATTTTTAAGCCACTAGGTCCAAGGCTTGCACCATAGTCAGTCATGTGGGAGTCGAGCAACATAACCGTTATGCCACCTGCTGGTCCCAAAAATCAAATACTAATAGAGAAACTGACAAGATCATTAAGTGTCTTAATTTATTGAATTAATTACCTAGTTATTTCTTGAACACATGCTGCATGTATAGCCTTGTGCTAGATACCACGTGCATAAAAAGAGTCAACTGGCACTTCTCAAATGTTAATGTATACACTTATCACCTGGGGATCTTGTTAAAGTGTAGATTTTTTTTTTTAAGAATCATTTAACTTTATTCATTCATTTATTTTTAACTTGACCAGAGAGAAACATAGTGAGGAGGTGGGGGTAGAGTGAGAAAGCAAGCCACCAGGTCCAAGACTCAAACCACAGTTGGCATGTGGGAGTCCAGTGCCCTTAACCATCTCGCCACCTGCCAGCACCCTAGAGTGTAGATTCTGATTAGCAGATCTAGGATGAGGCTTCAGATTTGCAGTTCTTACAAGCTCACAAGGACTGCTGATGCTGCTGATTTGCAGACCACGCTTTGTGTGACAAGATCGTAAACACTGTCCCTGCTCCTGGAACTAAGTATTACATGCATACATATAACAGTCACAGTCATCATTTACTGTCAGATTATTTTCACAATAAAGGATCAGATTATATTGTAGAATCAGCAGATTGGTATTAATTGTATAGTATAAATAATATAAAAGAAGGGAGAAAGGAGTGGTCTGATATCCTAACAGTTAAGGGAGCTAGATCCCGCATGGCTGACTGTGGTTCAATGGTCTGATATCCTAACAGTTAAGGGAGCTAGGTCCTACATGGCTGACTGTGGTTCAGTCCTAGCCTCAATGTCTTGAAAAACACACTGGGTACCTGTGTGTGCACCCCCAAAATCCCAGCAGGATGGAGAAATAGAGAAGAATGAATTGCAGTGTAATTATATCCTGGTGGGGAATGCTTTCTTGCTCTGTCTTTCTCTCCCTCCTAGTGAGGGCATGTGCCCTCTGACAATTTATTACAGAGAGAGAGAGAGGAAAAAATAGTTTTCTAGAGTCACCATAAAGGAAAATTCAAACAAAATGGACTTGGAAGACAAAGTAGGATATAGACAGCAGAGATGACTTTCTTGTCAGGGGGAGCAGGGTGAATGAAGAGCATGGATTATTGGAGGAAACAAAAGTAAGACTAGCTAGTACAGAGTAAGTATCCCTGTTCCAAAATGCTCAGGACCAGAAATGGTTTAAATTTCAAATTTTTACAAATTTTCAGAGTATTTACTTACATGTAATGAGATGTGTTGGGGCGAGGCCCAAGTCTAAACACAAAATGTATTTGTTTTATATATACCTATAGACAACCTGATGGTAATTCTTATATTTGTTGTAATACATGACCTGTCACATGAGGCCAGGTGTGGAATTTTCCACTTGTAGCATTGTGTTATCATTCAAAAAGTTTGGAATTTTGGAGCATTTCAGGGTTTGTATTTTCAGATTGGGTGTGCTCAACCTGTATTAAGAAATGGAAAGTATAGGTAGGGTTAAATTGTGAAAACTTAGATTTTATGTCACTTTATGTCTTATTACAGTAGTCATTTGGGAGTTACCCACTGGAAGTTACTCAGCAAGGATATGTTATAGAAGTGTTAATCTGGCAGTGATGTGAAAGGTGAGCCGAGCTCATATCAGGAAGTCTGGAAAGGAGGAAAGTACAGTGAGGATAATGAGAGCTGGACTGAGGGAATCACTCCAATATGTATGCTGTTACTTGTATAGTTTCATTTAGCTTGATCAGGTTTTAATAAAATTGAGACGAACTCACTACAGTGGTCATAATTGAATCTATTTTTAATTATTGAGAAAGGGATCTCAAGATCTCACATTCCCAAGGGATTCTCATGAACCTCATTTATTAATTTACATTTGGTACAGCTTTTACTACAGGACTGCAAGGGTTGTAACGAACTTTTCATCTAGGAAAATGCTGAAACAGTTGCTTTTCAAATGTCCTTCCAGCCTTGTACTGATGTGAAAATATTTTTACTTGAATATTTTTACGAGAATAAAATTTTTAAGTCTCAATTTATTCAAAATTTAAAATACTATTTACTGTTTACTTCTTTTATTGACTTAACAGTATTCAGAGCTGAAGACTCTAATACCCACAGACATCTAACTGAATTTGTTGGTCTGGACATTGAAATGGCGTTTAATTACCATTACCATGAAGTTATGGAAGAAATTGCTGACACTTTGGTACAGATATTCAAAGGACTTCAAGAAAGGTAAAAGAATATTTTATCTTCCTAGATGGACTTAATTTCAATTAAGTTTGGGTTCTTTAAAATACACACACACACACACACACACACACACACACACACACACACAATTATTTCTCAAGTTGTCAGAGAGACAAAGAAGGAAAGGGAGAAAGGACCCCCTAGTAGGTCAGACCACAGTCCTTTTTCCTTCATTTCTCCATCCTGTCAGTATTTTGGGCATGCACACACATGTGCCTGGTGTTTATTCCAAGCTGCCTAGGCCAAGATTTGAATTATGGTCAGCCATGTTCAATCCAGCTTCCTCAACCACTAAGCAACAAGGCTGACTCACAAAAACAATTCTTGAATTAAAACACATAAACTAAGTTTCTTTTGGGCATATGTAAAAAGACTTGCCAGTTAAATGATAGCTTACTTTGTTGGAAAAGTCCACATGCAGAAGAGCACATCTTCATGCAAGTCGATTGGAGCCTGAACTTGTTAGTTAACATCATTTTGGTGAAGTTTGCTGGGTTGTGAACCACCTAACTATATTCGGTCTTTTCATTCATACTGATACCCTGAATGTCTAAAGAAGATAGAGCATGTGTTGATTTTATAGCAGTGTGTTATGGTAGGCAGGAGGAGATTAGTGGTTAAAATCTTGGATTCAGCTATGCCAGACAGCCTGAGTTCGCATCCCAGCTTTGGTTCTTTTATGTGTGGGCCTTGTGCAACTTATTTAACTCCATGCCTCGGTTTCCTCGGCTCTTAGGTGGAAATAATACTTTGGCTCACCTCTAAGGTAAAAAGTCCCTTCAGTCTCACTTCTAATCTTTATTGAATCTGTGCACATGTGAATTAAGCTCGTGTGAATAATGGTTAATTCTTAAATCAGTTCCATTCACTGAGCATTGAGTGATTAGTAAAGATTAGGAACTCACAGTCTAAAGTGACTTTTTACTGTTTGGGTCTGGTAAATTGACATTTATAGAAACATTAAATTTTTCTAGTGTTGAGAATACTGAATTATGTAAAACACCCGCTTTAAGGGCACTCTCTCAGCTGCCAAGTAGTTCTTGCCTTGAAGGTTGTTGGAAGTTGTTTAGTTGTGATGATGTTTAACATGGAGAAAATAGGAAAAGAAAACAGAGCAAGTTAAATTGATCAAGAGAGTCTTTTCCTTTCTCCTTACTTGTGACTATATTTGAAGTATTAGGTAGGCTATAACAGACTTATCTAGCATTTTAATAACTGATGATGGAGCATATTCTAAATTTTTATTTGAAGACCACTGAAATGGTTATTGGTGTATTTTATATAGTTTAACTCTTTAAAAGAGTTCAAAAATATGCATTTTATTTACTTCCTTGCAAGGCTAATGAGTAAATTCAGGAATGCAGAAACTAATCATTGAGCTTATATTAAAATACTGTACCTTTAAGCACTAGAATTTTCCAGGCATTCTCTACATTGCTTTCTATCTTTGATGACTAGTTAATTTCAAATAATTATTTATTTAATTTTATTTATCATTTTTTAAATTTGTTAAAGGACACGTGTGTTCACCAGAGAGAGAGGGGGAGAGAGAGAGAGAGAAAGTGAGAAAGGAAGCTACCAGGTCTGCCACTCAAACCATGGTCAGCCATGTGGGAGTCCATGCCACCTGCTGGCCCTATGACTAGTTCATTTCAGACAGCCTTTTTTTTTAACCTTTGTCTTTACAATATTTTGATGCAACTTATTTTAAGCAACTTTTATTCAAATCATCCATGGAATAATGTATTTTTATAAAACAGAATATTGGACCATCCCCATGGGCTAGAGGCTAAGGCAGCGAGATCCCACATGGCCAACCGCACTGTTTGAATCCCACCCCCAGCAGTTTGAAACAGACCCCATACATACCATGACAGTGCTGATAAGTGGAAGAGAAGGGATTGCAGTGTGACTGTGCCCCTTCAGCAAAGGATCCTTTCTTCCTCTCTCTCGCTCTTTCATGAGTGCACATGCCCTTTTGCAAATGCCCTCTTGCAAATGAAAAAAGAAAAAAAGTGTAATTTGAAACTGCATTGAAGGAACACAGTTTTTCTTATTTTCTTTTCACATTTATAACTCAAAGTTTCTAAAACTTTTTTTTAAAGATATTGATAGCTTCTCTATTTAATATTGGGGTTTAAAATTTCTACTCTGGTTTTATAACAACAGACCAATCTTAAATCAGCCTTTGGAATCAAATCTGCACACAAATTTTAGACTCAGACACTTTTTTTTTTTTTTTTTTACTGCTAGATAAGGAAACTACCCACCAGTGGGGTGTGGTCACGCCACAATCCCTTTCTTCCATTTCTCTACTCCTTCAGCATAGGGTTACACACACACACCTAGAGTGTTTTTCAAGCAGGGATTCAAAATGTAGTCAGCCGTGTAGGAGCCAGCTCCCTATGCACAGTGCTTACCCACTATGCTGCAGGACTGGCCCAGACTTGGACACTGCTGTTGCTGAACTTAAGTAGACTTAAGGTGGCAATTTGAAAATAAAAGGCTTTTTTTCTATATGCTATAAATTATATAGGAATTTTAAAGTTTCTCTGTCACTTGTAAATTTGATTCCCTGGTTTGTATCATGTCTTTTTCATGTTTATACTAATGAGAAACATAATTTCTCAAAGAAAAATAATACACAAATGTATTTTAAAGCATTGATAGTCATGTTTTTATATTACCATTAATAGAATGCAAGTTAATATCCAAAGCAAAGAAAAACTGTTTAAAAACCAACTATTGGGGTCTTCCTAACATGATAAGATTTGAATAATCAGTGACTAAGCTTTATTGCTCTCATGAAGTCTTTTAAGATCTGATGGTAGTAGTGTTTTAATTTCTAGAATATAAATTCTTATAGGTAATTTTATATATAGGCTATAGAGGTATTTTTCTATATATAAACATACTTGTTTCTCCATGTAGAATACAAACATTCTTTCTTTTTGAGTTTATTAGTTATGAAAAATCATATACAAAAGTATGGGCACTAGCTTAGTGAATCCCCATGTACTCAATAGCCAGTTTCAAGCATTGCCAACCCAGGGCGAATTTTGTTACCTATTTTCCCTGCATCCCTTATTATTTTGAAGCGAATCTGAACTGTCAATTTCATTAATAAACACTTCAGCAAAAATATATATTTTTAATCCTAGTAAAATTTCCCACAGCAGAAGATCAGTTCAGTGCAGTAAACATTTGCCTTGTGTCTACCGTGTATAGGGTAGGAATCAAACTATAGGGATTATCAAAATGGGGAAGATATTGGCACTCCCCTAAACAAACTTACTGTGTAATTAGTATGAGGGAAGATAGCCAAGTATTCATCAATTTGGTCTTCTTTAATGATAAGTGTTGCTATAGGATTAAAAAGTCAGCTTTTTAAAAATACTTGATAAAGTGGGTAACCGTTTTGTTTGTAATGATGTTGGCTGATATGAGTTATATAGAACGTTTCAATCTTTTAATGCCACTGTAGTTACAGAAACATGAGACCGAGAAGTGGTGTTAAATATTTTATGTGCTTTCATTCTTTAGCTTAAATAATATGGTAACGATTTTTCTAGTGCATGCAGTTGATTCACAGAATGATTTTGTATGTTGCCACAGTGACCTCTTGTGGGGGAAACATTTATATCAGGCATTTTATTAACTCTGAAATCATTGCGCCAATAGGTTTCAGACTGAAATTCAAACGGTGAATAAACAATTCCCTTGTGAGCCATTCAAATTTTTGGAACCTACTTTAAGACTGGAGTATTGTGAAGCACTCGCCATGCTTAGGGAAGCTGGAGTCGAAATGGGAGATGAAGACGATCTAAGGTTTGTCTTTCTGATTTTTCTTCTTTTAAAATTTACTATAGAGAAAAAAAAAAAATTTACTATAGGGCATGTGCACTTGGCCAGAGAGAAGAGGAAAACCCAGAAGCACTCCCCATAGAGGATGATCACACCATGATCCCTTCTCCATTTCTGCCTCCTTTTGGAATTTTGGGGATGCACGCACGTGCGCCCACAGTGTTTAGGGTGGGCATCGTACTATAGGGATTATCAAAACCGTTTTTCTGGGTCCAGGACTCAAGCCACACAGTTGACCATGTGAGATCCAGCCATCTAGCCACCATATCACTGGCTGGCCCATCTTTGTGATTTTTAAAACTTACGATAATTTGGTTTAAAGTATAAGAGGATGAATATGTTAACAAATGATTATTTTGTTTTATCTAGCTGATAAATTTTAGAACTGTAATTGAATAAAGATTGAAAATTAACATCACAATAATACATATGTATATAGGGGGAAAAAAGGGTAATGATTTTCATCTTTAGAATTTTTTAAAGAACATTTCACTCAAAACACTTTGTTTATTCTTGTTTCTTTAACAAAACAGAGAAATGTGGTGTTAAGCATCCCCTACATCACTAAATGATTTTTATCACCTCCAGGTGTGTGCACTTACCAGACAGAAACAGCAAAAGAGGGAGAAATTACCTCCAACAGAGTGTGGTCATGGCACAACCCCTTTTTCTCTATGTCTTTGTCTTGTCAGGATTTGGAGCATGTGCATGTGCACACACGCACGCACGCACACACACGCACACACCTGTGATGTGTTTTTCAAGCCACCAGAGCCAAGACGCAAACCTGGGTCAGCCATGAGGGATCTGTGTCCTTTAACTACTGTGCCACGAGGCTGCCCTGCTAGATGATATTTTAAGGCAAACTACACATTCTATATACTTATGTTAAGTTGGATGATAGTTCCTTATATTTCTTGGAAATCGTTCATAAATAAGATAGGAACTAAAGTAGCTACCTCTTGTCTATAGAAATTTAATATTTTAGCATAAACATCACATTTTGAAGACTTGGAAATACTGATTTTTACTTTATAAATCTTTGATAAAGAGTAGCAAAAGCGGGAAACTATTTATTGACGAGAGTAGCTCATGTGGTAGAACTGTCAAGATATGTAATTGTAGGAAATTATTTCATCCGTGACACTTCTGAATCACTGACTTGCTAAATTCTGTTTATGGTTTTAATTAAATATATATTTGAGCAGTACCTACTAAGTGCCCAGATACTGTAGTAAGTGCATTTATAAGTGATTTTCAATAGTTCTTGCGTTTTTAAAAAGGAGTAGGATAGATAGGTATTTGGACTGAATTTCTTTTTTTTTTTTTTTGAACTGAATTTCTTATCCTTCTAGAACTTCAAATAGAAGGGATGCCTTATTAACTTAAACTCTTTTAAGTTGCTCTTTGATCTTCAAACACCTGATTTCATGTTTCTTTTTCAGTACACCAAATGAAAAATTGTTGGGTCGTTTGGTAAAGGAAAAGGTAGGATTCTTATACATGCTGGAATTTTTTTTTTTTAATCTGAAATGTATCCTTATACTAAAGAAAAATTGCAGAGGAGACTAATTACCTATTGTAGAATGATATGATACCAGAATCAATAAAAATCCAAGGGGACAATATTTATAAAAATAAAAAGTAATTCTTAAAAAAATAAAAAGCATTCAGACAGGGCTGGGCATAAACAGCTTGATTATAACTCAGTATTTGATATTTTTCCTGAGCTGTACTGAGGTATCTCTAAACATGATACCTCTAATCAGATTTTCAGATTATTTAAAACGACCTAAGAATTATCTGGAATTATTGGGTTATCTGGAAAATCATGACACATTTCTGCATAAAAAAATGTCATGACTTTCCCAACAACCTAATTTCTAGAAATTATCTTCCCTGAGTTCTCTCACTATCTCACGAGACTCAAGACAAATGGGCCTCCCTTCTGCCTCTTATGTGAAAGCTACTTTCCTATCTCATTTTCTAAAACCAAAATGCCAAAGGGTAAATGCTAAATTTGTATGGTCTTTAAAAGGTGAATGAAATGAAAAAGTCCTTGAGCACCCTCTACTGGTTGCACTTGAATTGTTAAATTGGCTAGGGAATTCAGATACTTCTGAAAGCATACAGTATTGAGTTTCTGTAATACCTTTAAAATGTTGTTTCAGCAGGGCCAATTTTAGCAGGGTTTCTTATCTCTGTTGACATTCTCCCTAATCTCCAGTTCTGGCAAGACCCTTAAAGTAAAAAATAGTTGAAATGAAATTAATTTATTCTTAATTAAGTCTAGGTCACGTAGCAAGTGTTCTTTCTTTTAAAAATTATCATAATTTTGGAGTGAGGATCCTGCTGCTGAACTTTGGGGACAAATAGTCGAGGCCTGCTGAGAACAGGACTTCTAAAAGGCAGCTGTGTCTGGAAGGCTGTGGTCCAAGGCCATTTTTGCTGCTATAAGTGAGGTCTCAGGAACCAAAGGGAGCACACAGCTCTTCTTAAAATTGAAGGTGTTTATGCACGAGATGAAACAGAATTCTATTTAGGCAAGAGATGTGCTTATATGTACAAAGGAAAAACAACACAGTGACTCCTGGTGGCAAACCAAATAAAACCAGAGTAATCTGGGGAAAGGTTACCTGAGCCCATGGAAACAGTGGCATGGTTCGGGCCAAATTCCGAAGCAACCTTCCTGCTAAGGCTATTGGACACAGAATCCGTGTGATGCTATACCCCTCGAGGATTTACAATAATGAAATGTAAATGAATAAAAATGGATTTATGTTGTAAAAAAAAATCATAATTTCATGTTAATGTTTTTTATTTCTTTAATTTAAAGAAAACTACCAAATTTTATTTATATATTTAAACAAAAATTTAAATTATTAGAAAATTATCCAAATTTTTTGAAGATGAATATTGTACAAGGTATCGGTTTTTACCAAAATGATTTATGAGTTTAACATAGTTTCTATAAAATCTCAAAGGATTTAGGATAGTTTAACAGCATAGCTATAAAATACATCTGAAAGACTAAGTGAGCTGGAATAACAAAGAAAAAAATGAAAGTCAAGTATGTTTGTCATAGCATAATTATACTGGTGGAGAAATTAGGAACAGATTATGTGTCCAAAAATATAGGGAAAAATGAATATTTGAATAATAATTGAATAGTAAACAGCTAAAAGTTATTTATTGAAAGAATTTATGGCATCATGGCAAAATGGTATACATGTCACTTGGAAAAAAATGCAGGATACTCATTGCATTTATAGAATAATTTCAGTAATTTTGAAAAACAAAAACATATGTATAAAAAAGTTAATTTCAAATGTAAACTTTCTTATTATTAAAACAATGTATTTTAATTGTATTTATTCTTTTTATAGTATGATACAGATTTTTATATTCTTGATAAATATCCATTGGCTGTAAGACCTTTCTATACCATGCCTGACCCAAGAAATCCTGTAAGTAAATTAGTTTAGTAACTTGTTTTTAAGGAGGGGAGAAAGAAATTTTTTATATCACTGTGTTAAATTATAGTTTTATAGGAGCCGGCAGGTGACGTGGTGGTTAGGGCACTCAACTCCCACATGGTCTACCACGGTTCAAATCCCGAACCTGGTGGCTTGCTTTCTCGCTTTCACTTTCTCTCTCTCTGTCTCTCTCTGCTCAAATTTTAAAAATAAATAAATGAAAATATGAATAAAAAGAAATCTTTTTAAAAATTATAGTTTTATAATGGGAATTTTGACTTTTATTAATAAGTTTTTGGGGGACAGCAGGTAGCATGGTGGTTGAGGCACTGGACTCCCACATGGCTGACTTGTTCAAGTCCCTGGACCTGGCAGCTTGCTTTCTCATTTTCGCACCACCCGTACCTTCTCTCTCTGTCTCTCTGTGGTCAAATTCAATAATAACAATAATTAATAAATAATAATTCTTTTAAAAGTTGTCATTTAGACGGGGACCAGCAGGTGGTGTGGTGGTTAAGGCGCTGGACACTCCCACATGGCCGACCACGGTTCAAATCCCGGAGCTGGTGGCTTGCTTTCCCACTTTCTCCCTCTCTCTGTGTGTCTCTCTCTGGTCAAATTAAAGGAATGAATAAATAAAATTAAATAAATAATTCTTTAAAAAGTTGTCATTTAGAAACACATTGTTATGTACATCACTACTATTGTTCATCAATATAGGTCAAAATGATACTGTGAAATTTGAATATATTAGCAAATTAGTCCTGAAAACTGTTTTTAAATTATTTCCTGAAGCTTTTTTCTGAAGATTTGTGAGGAAGAAAAACCATATAAATGATAAACATTACTACTAGATTTGCAAACTATAGCAATCATCTTATCATTGATATGAACTGAGGCTTCACATGGTGTCCTAGCAATAATTTAAATAATGTCTTATGGCCTCTGACTATTCCTTCTTTTCAGTGGTTCCTAGTTCTTACTGTGCCTCTGAATCACCGGGAGGACTTGTTAAGGCAGATTTCTAAGCCATACCCCCAGAGTTTCTGGTTAGTTGGTCTGAACAAGGACCTGATCATTTTTATTTCTGATGAAGTCCATGTAATACTAAAGCTACTGGTCCAGGAAGCACACTATGAGAACCATTGGTTTAAGGAAAAACTAGGAAGTTAAGGTAAAACTGCTGTTTCCAGATACCTGATAGAGAGTAGGTTAGCTTTTATAAACTGATTCTTAATTCACTTTCCCTAAAATAAATTGTTTTTAAAAATTTAATATTTTAAGTAAAAATGGTTAACTTGGAAGCAACCCTATAGCCCAGTGCCATGGTTTAAATCCCAGCCCTGGTGACTTGAGAAATGTACCAGGTGTGTACATGGATACCCAGAATCCTGACAAGAGAATGGTAGGAAAAAGGATTTCGGCATGACTACACCCCTTTGAAGGGTTCTCTCTCTCTCAACTACGTGTACCCTCTGGCACTAAAAAGAGAGTGAGATTAATTTGAAGTTCAAAAAAGTGACAAAAAAAACCATATAACACTTTAAAACGTTTCAGATGAAGTAAAGTAAGGATCAGCACTGCCGCTTAAAAGTTAGATGTGAGGGCAGCTGGATCCCACATGGCCGACTGTGAGGTTCCGTCAAAGCCAGTGACTTGAAAAACACACCTGCCACATGTGTATATGCCCAAATCTCAGAAGGAGAATGGATGAGATGGGCTTGCAGCATGGCCATCCTCCCTGAGAGTGATTTCTCACTTTCTCACTTTCTCACTTTCTCTCTCTCTCTCTCTCTCTCTCTCTCGCTCGCACATGCATCTTATAGCAAAACTAAAAAAAAAAAAAAAAAAAAAGTTAGATGTGGTATTCTGCTTTGTTCATGGGGGATGTGGGAGGAAAGGAGCACAAAATCTGATACAGGCAGGGAAGAATGTATTATTTAACCCTCAGTGGTTTAATTTTCCGTTAGAGAGACAAATTATGTTGATCAAAGCAAGTTGCATTATTAATTACAGGGGAAAAAATGAACTTGCATCTTCAGGCAACAGAGATTTTTTTCCCACATATGTATAGTATTGGGTCATCGGAAAAGTCCTGAGTTATTTTTCTGTTTTTCTATGCAAAAATGCATCATGACTTTTCTGACACCCGAATAGAAATATTCTGACCCATAGTCACTTGAAAAGTTGTATGTGTTTGTTTTTGCTGCAGAAACAGTCCAACTCATATGATATGTTTATGAGAGGAGAAGAAATATTGTCAGGAGCTCAAAGAATACATGATCCTCAGCTACTAACAGAAAGAGCTTTACATCATGGAATTGGTAAGCAACTTAAATATTTTTAGAAACATGGCACATATGCCCTGAAAATAAAACTTCCTAATGGCACATATGCCCTGAAAATAAAACATCCTAACTATTTTAAGGATTTCTCAGAGACAGTCTTTTTCCTTTATTCTTATCTTCATTGAATAGAAATTGCTTTTAAATTTTTTAGATTATAAAATATGACAAATTATTGTCTTGTTTTGTTTGTAGATTTGGAGAAAATTAAGGCTTACATTGATTCCTTCCGCTTTGGATCTCCTCCTCATGCTGGTGGAGGCATAGGTAATAGTCTGTTCTTACTTCTAAAAAGTCCATAAGTGCTAAGTATAATACAAATTTTAATTATAAGGATTTTTTAATGAGTTATGATTGAAAATTTTATTTTCAGTAACCTTTTTATACAAAAAGACAAAACTTCTTAAAATTTTTACACAAATTGTAGCATAATGGGTTTTTTTGTTTTGTTTTGTTTTTTGGAGAGGTTTTTTTTTTTTGCTATAGGGCGCGTGCACTTGCCAGACAGAGAGAGAGAGAGACAGACAGAAAGCGAGAAATCACCCCCAGGGGAGATGGCCATGCCACAATCCCTTCTCCTCCATTCTCCTCTCAGGATCTTGGGCATGCATGTACACGTGCCCGGCGTGAGTTTTAAGCCGTTGGGTCCAGGACTTGAACCACAGTCGACTACATGGGAGTCCGGCGACATAGCCATTAGGCTAACTGCTGGTCCCACATAATGTATTTTGTAACTTGTTCCTTATCAATACTTAAAAAACCTTTTCATTCTTTTTTGTGATGTTTGCTATAGGGCATATGAGCTTGCCAGAGAGATAGAGAAAGAGAAAGTGAGAAATCACCTCCTAGAAAGAATTGCCATGCTATAATCCCTTCTCCAGTCTCCTCTTGGGATTTTGGGCACATATACGCATGTGCCTGGTATGAGTTTTAAGCTTCGGAGCCCAGGACTTGAACCACAGTTGACTACATGGGAGTCCAGCAACATAAACATTATGCCATCTGCTGGTCCCTCATTTTTAATCTCTACATAGAATCCATTGAAAGGATACATCATAATCTGTTAACAGCTATTGATAGACTCATAGGTTTTTACCCTTTTGTTATTATAAACAATGCTACATGGAATATATAGTTTAAATTTTAATGAGAAATTTAGGGCTATTTTTTCTTAGAGTACTCAGTACTGTGCATTTTACATAATGTATGTGATTGACAATGTAAATGTTAACTTTAAATGTGAAAAAGGAAGCTTCAATAAATACTTTTTTCTTTTTTTTATTTTAAATTTATTTATTTACATTCATTCACTATACATCATTGCAGTATACAAAATGAGATTTTTCCATCCAGAATACACTGTATATTGGATCAGTTAAGGGTATTGCCATATGTATTATCAACAAATAATTTTCCATTTCTTGTGTTTTACATATTTTTGCCTCTTTTTTTTCCCCTCTTTCAATTCCTTGCCTCTTACCCTCTGCAATTTCCCATCCTCTTCCCACACTATCTCTGGTATCTACAGTTGCTTTCTATGCCTTTTTCATATTTTATTGATTCACTACAGCTCTTACTCTAAATACTTTCAGTAGCAAGTACAGCTGATATATACATAGCTATGAACACATGTCTGACTGTAGGCATAAACTTCAGTGAGTAGAATGAACATACTATAAAGTAGCACCTAGCTGGGTCTATATAGCTTACTGCAGTCTTTAACTAGGTATTTCTTAATGCATTTTTTGAAGGAAGAAGGCTAAGATTCAGTTCAAATAGTAGGTAGATGAACCTATCAACAGTTCAAGAGAAGACAAAATCCTTAAATCTGGACAGCAAAGCATAGAAGAAAATCAGTAATGTTTTAGTCAAAAGTCATAAAATTCTGTTTTACCAGTTCAGTCTCATATAATTGATCTCTCATCTATTCAATTTGCAGTATTACTGTGATCTGATCTTTCCTTTTTAATTTTGGAAATTAACATTCAACATTATTATTGATCTTTCCTGACTTGTCCCTACCATTAAGTTGGCCATTCTCTTGGTTGCTTTTTTGTACTCTTGTTTCTATGTTTCTGACTTTAGTTTTCTTGGTATAGCACTCCCTTCAACCCTTCTTAGAAAGCTGGTCTAGTATTTGTAAATTCTTTCAGATTTTGTTTATCTGAGAATATTTTTGTCTTTCCTTCTCACATGAAGGATAATCTCACTGGGTAGAGTATTCTTGGTTGATACTGTTTTTCACTTAACATTTTGAATATATTTTCCCATTCTTTCCTTGCTTGCATTGTTTCTGATGAGAGGTCTGACATTAGCCTGATCGGATATACTTTGAAAGTAACTTGGCGTTTCTCTCTTGCCAAATTTAGTACCTTGTCTCTGTCTGTGGTTTTGGTCAATGTGGCTATGATGTGCCTCGGGGAAGTTCTTCTTAGGTTAATTCTATGTGGGGTCCTTTGTATTTCTTGGGTCTGGATATTTTAATGCCTCTCTAGGTTTGGATAGTTTTCTTCCGTATTTCATGGAATAGATTATTAATGCCCTTATTAGTTTCTTTACCTTCTGGGATACTGATTACCCGGATGCCTGGGCATTTAATGTTACCTGGTATTACTTGTATATTATTCTCATTAAGGGGGTTATTTTCTCTGTCTTTTTGGTGAATTTTTCTAGGTCAGAGGTTCTGTGTTCTACATCTGAGATTCAGTCTTTGCATGATCTAATCTGCTTTTAATACTTTCAAAGGAGGTTTTGATTTTCTGTATTATCGTCTTCATCTCTTAACATTTCTGTTTGATTCCTTTTTATGGTGTATGTTTCCTCTTTCAGATCATTCAAGAACTTTCTCACCTCCTGAAACTTGTCTCTTTTTTTTTTTTTAGTCTGAAAACAGCCACTGTTTATTTACTGACCAGATTACAAAAATAATCATGGTGGATACCTTAGTTCATCCTTCTAAAAGTCTGTTGATCTGGTCTTCCCTGTTGCCAGCATCTCCACCTTCTACAAAATGGGTGGTCTTTTTCTTCATTCCACCTCGTGGAGGAGATAATTTGAAGGGCCACAGGAAGTTATTTGCTTCTCTGAAGCATTTCTGGAACTTGTCTTTTTTCTCCTGCATCTTCTAGAGTTTGTTGTCTCCTCTGTTAGCTTTGTCACTATGAATATTCTAAATTTTTTATCTGACATTTCCACAATTTCCATTGTATTGTCTGTGGAGGATGAGGAGTTATTCTTTTCCCTTAGGGGAGAGATATTTTCTTGATTTCTCATACTTCATGTGCCTTTGCTGTGGTTTCTGGTCATCGGATGGATTATACATTTTTTTCCTAATTTTTTTTTTTTTGGAGAGGTTTTTGCTATAGGGCACGTGTGCTTGCCAGAAAGACAAAGAGAGACAGAGAGATAGAAAGCGAGAAATCACCCCCCAGGAAAGATGGCCATGCCGCAATCCCTTCTCCTCCATTCTCCTTTCAGGATCTTGGGCATGTACGCACACATGCCCAGCATGAGTTTAAGCCTCAGGGTCCAGGACTTGAACCATGGTTGACAACATGGGAGTCCAGTGACATAGCCATTATGCTAACTACTGCTCCCAATTTTTTCCTCATTTTTTAAATTAAATCTGAGCGATCAGAGGAATGCAGAAAGAGGTGACCTTCAGTCTGTAACAGACTTGGGCTCTAGCTGAAGCTGGGATGAATCATGGCTTAAAACCCAGCTGGGCAGGGAACAGCAGTTAACGTAATGGCTATGTCGCTGGACTCCCATGTAGTCAACCGTGGTTCATGTCCCAGACCCTGTGGCTTAAGCGTGAATGCCCAAGATCCTGAGAGGAGAATGGAAGAAAAGGGATTGCTGTATGACCATCCCCCCTGGGGGGTGATTTCTCGCTTTCTATCTCTCTGTCTCTATATATGGCAAGCGCATGCGCCCTATAACAAAAACCTCTCCAAAAAAAAACCTAGATGGGCTGTTTTTTTTTTCTTTCCCTCTTGGTCTTTCTTTCTTATGGAAGAAATAAATAAACTTTTAAAAATTTACTTAGAAAAAAAGAATAGCAATGAAAATGTGTGTTGTTTTATGTATATTTACATATTCTTTTTAAATCTTGAAAATTAAAAATCATGCTATATAAAATAATTCTTTGACCTTGCCTTCATTGTGTGATATGTTAGTCTTCTAAACTTTAGTGAAATGAGTAAATCAAAATACACATAAAAATTTCATCTGCAAGTTATGTTCTGCTTCTCGGGTGGTACCTGGTCTTAATTCTCATTAGAAATATAGGGGTTACAGCTTGATAAACTCATTTTAAGTAAATATTGTTAAGTAAATTGGGAGTTGTCTGAAATAAGCCACCAAAATCAATCTTTTCTATACTCGAAACACTTAGCATAATAATATACTTTAGAGCCTTTGCACTGAGGACCACCATGTTAAATGTCTGTAGAATTACAATAAATGTTGGGGTAATTCTAGTAATCTTTGTTGAACAAGTTTTTAGCTCTTACTGTTACGGTCATTATCTGGACTGCATAATCAGCATCTAGTATCATTTGATTTGCATATCAGTCGAGAACATACAGGCTTAAAAAGAGATTTGTTTTAGGGTTTTTTACCGTTTAATTGTAGATTTTCTTTGTTGGTACTTATTCGTACTTCACAGCTCAGTCTCCATACCACTATGGCTGTCTCGTTAGTTCCTCCCACATACAGCAGCATCTCTGTTTCTGAATCAGTGCAAAAGCATTCAGTTGTAGGTAAATCCAAACTAAGAGGTTGTTTTCCTTCCTAGTGAAGGGCAGTATTTTGTTGAAGAGTTTTATATTAGTAGTTCTAAGTAAATAAGATGAGTTTTCAAAAAAAGGAATTAATGATCACTTTCTTTTCCCCAGGGTTGGAACGAGTGACTATGCTGTTTCTGGGGTTACATAATGTTCGTCAGACCTCGATGTTCCCTCGTGATCCCAAACGACTCACTCCTTAAGGAAAGCCATGGTTTTATTCTTTCCAGTACCCTGCCTTTGACCAGACTATACCTTAGGTACTAAAATACACAGTAGAATAACTTCCTAAAGTGCCGTGGTTATTTTATTCAGTAGAGGTTCGTTTAAGAGAGAAGATTTTTCTAACCTCAGACATGCTTCAGTAGGAAATGCTTGAACATTTTAATGAGAAATTAATATGGTTATGTTAAAATTAATCTTTAATTACTATATAAAATGTTAACAAGAGTCTTAAACAGTTAAGATTATGCAGGGTTTATTTTTCTTTTCTATATTAACAGTGGCCACAATATTCATGTTCTAAGTTTGCAACATCTGAGCTTATTTTTAAAAATTCTGACATTGAGATAAGAACACTTGAGGAAGTACCTGAGATTTTAATGAATGCATAATTGACATATCATGGAAAATAAGGCAGGAAGTAAAGTTACGCCCAGAAATCATGTGAGGCAGGTGAAAGAACTGGTTAGAAAATATTTGATACAATACTGTATGAAATTGTTACATCCTAAACTTGCACTTCAATAAAATTTTAAAGCTAATTATAGTTTGAGTAACTTTTTGACAGTCTGATTTTATAATAAGTTGTTGGCAGTTTTTATTTGGGAAAAGAAAAATACACAACTGGTTTATGTAAATACCTAAAAACAAATAAAAACTGATATAACTTATATTCATGCCAGGATATAAGCTCAAATAGGCGGAAGGATAGAGCCCGTAGGGCTTGGCTTGTTTAATACTTTATTCACATAGGTAAAAATCTTGCTGTTTAGCTATGGTGGTGCAGCGATAACACGATGCTCTGTCATGTTGAAGCCTCTGAGGAGGTCCTAGGCTTGCATCCGGAGGTCTTCCGGTTCATGCTGTATGCACATGCCAGTGATCCTGAACGGCTGAGTCTGGGACACAGTCATGTCGTGAAGAACTCGTTCGCAGGGGTTGGGGTGTGCCCTCTCCCCAACAAATAAATATTTCAAAATTTTCTTTCACATTTTACTGCTACTTAGTGAGTATCACTAAATTGTACTCCTATCTTCCTCCCCTAAAGCAATTTCTGTATTAGAATTGCTATTAGGAACACTCTCCCTCTCGATTTTTACGTTTGTTCATGATTTTACAGTGAGATGTAAGTAACGGGCAGGAACAAAACAATGTAAAGTAGCTCTT